GGAGGGGGGAGTGACACGAGATGGAAAAATTGCAATATTTTCCATGCTTCTCCAAAGGGTCATCGAGTCAAAGGAGATTAAGCCCCTATTTGGTTCCCATTCTTTCTTGATTAAAATGAAAAATATGACCGTTATCCATCACATCAAGCAACCAAATTTAAATTTTTATTTCTTGTATAGGGCCTGTAACAGCTATATTTTTTATTCTTATTCTTCCAAAAATAAGAAACAAACAAGGGCTAAATTCAATACAAGCCTCCCATTGGACCTGTGCGCTTCAAGATTACTCATGGCGCTTCACTTTTTCTTCTCTAACAATCAATCTACCATCACTCGTGTAATACCTTTTCATCACCCTCTGCATGAGAGATGGAAAATTTAAAGTTAGATCTATACTCTTAAATTATATTAACTTAATGATTAAGATTAATTGTCAAATACCTTTATCCATCGAACACTCTCCAAACATATTTTGGTATATTCTCCTCAAACCAACATAAAGGAATTATGTGAATATTGTAAGCTGATGTTGCCGCAAGATAAATAGTTCAAATTCTTGGTGAAGATTGATGTGAAGAAAAGAGAAGAAAAAGCACGAAAGAAATTGATTGTCAGAAGTTGACAAAGTCGATGCAAAGGAGATTAATGAAGAAAGCCATCCAAGCAAGAAACTAATTATAGAAGGTTGAATATTAATTTATATTAGAGATACATATATTCTTTCTCTTTAAAAATTGAATCAAAACACAGCTGTTATTTTGTGGTTTTAATGAATGTTTAATTTAATATGACTTATATTTAAAACAAATTTGCTACATCATTAAAATTATAACATTTGATTTTGTACCAATTTGAAGTAAACACCGTGTAATCTATCAAAAACGGAAGCTGCGTAGTTAAAGAACAATTTCAAAAATTCTATATTGCCCAATCCAATAATCGTGTATCGATTCTTAATGTCAAATAAAATCACTATTTAAATAAATTATTATCATGAATAATCTTTTATCAATTTTCGTATTTATTTCATTCAACTTTATTTCCATCAAGTGAAACTCAATATATATATATATATATATATATGTTCAAGCATCTTTAAACGTTACTTTTACAGCACTAATAAAGAATTTTAGAATAATATGCAATGCACACTTAAACATCTAAACATCACTAACAAAACAAAGCTAACATTATTTAACTTCTCAACAATTATGATGTGTTCCATAAGAAGGTGTAATGCAAAGTAAACAAACTTAGCCCTTATTTGGTTTAAATAAAAATCAGATTTTTATTAAACTTTGATAAAAATTGATGAAATATGTAATTGAAAAATTATAGGTCCCATGAAGTATTGATTAAAATTAATTATTGACTTTATTTATATTTTAATCCACTTTTGTAGATGAACCCAAGGAGTTAAAAAGTTTGCCATGAGCAATTTCTATTGTGTAATTTTGAATACCAAATCTCTTGGACAATGAAATAAGGAATTGGATTCTTTGTTGGGCATCAATGTATGGATAAGCTCTTGTTTCCTGGTCTATTAGTGCACATCTCGCTATTTACCTCCCTCACGATACTTCAAGGGTGGGACCGTGGGGGGCCTAAAGGTTGGAGTTCAACCTTTAAGAAAAAGGAAAAACTGTCAAACGGATCTCTAGTAAACTATATTTTGCCAAACAATACCTTAGCCAATTAGAAAATTGATTTCATATTTCTTGAATGAATAGACCGCTCAACCAATTAGAATTGAGATTCAGATCCACTTTAATCACTCACCCGTCGACAATCACGGACTCGTAAGTCTGCATATGGACAAATCTTTACAAAAATGTTGTGGAGACATGCTCAAAAATAGGGTAGACACATGTCTAAATATGATTAGACGCACAGCCAACAACTTCTGTCAAATCAATATGTCTCTAAATCCCCATTTTTAGCCCATCTAACTAGTTTTATTCAAATCTTTATTAAAACTTTGGGTGTCGCATTAAATTATCAATTTTATTAAATAGAGTCATCAAAGTCCATATAAATTGATCTATATTTTCATTTTTATTTGACATGTAGTAACATGTCCACGTAAAATGATGGCTCGTTTGAGCATACCAATCTAAAAATTTGTATACTATTTATTTGAATTTTAATCTAATCGAATTGGTCATTAAATCTTAACAGGATTTGACAATGTATCAAGATTTAGAATTCCATTCTAAAAAGTCAACATTATTAAGAAAAGTAGTCGAAATCATTATAAGTTAGTTCAGATTTTCTTCTTTATTCGATCATAATCTATACAGACGATTGATCCACGTACCATAATCACTCATACTCAAGTAAAAACGAGGATCAAATGTTACAAATTAAAAGGAACTGACAAACTTACATAAAAGCCCTTCAACAAAAAGCAGTCAGGCTTTTCAGATTGCAGAAATTGATGATATACTACACAGTCTACACACCCTGCAATCCCTTTCTGTTGAGAGGAACAAGATTTATACTAACATCTCCGTTGATTAATTATTTCACAGACAAGAAATTCAGTTATCATTACATTGAAATACATAAGAAATATTATTGATTAGTAATACATTTTGGAATTTTGATCCAACTTTGCCATCAGAATGTGGGAACGATATGGTATCTTTCATCAGGGATGAAAATTCGATCAATATCAGATTCAATTGCCTCCGTTCTTTTTGCGAAACGACCTTTGATTCTTGGCCTTGTTTCCGCATAGGCCTTTCGAGATGCATATCGTATAGTTTTCTCGAATTTTCTGTTCTTTCTCTTCTCTCTGTACCTCAAAACTCTTGCTTCCCTGTTCGATCCAACAATCTGGGAACCTTGATTCTTGCTCAGATCAACACCAAAAGAGTACGATGATTCTGGAAAAGAGCTCCCTTCGGGCACAACCCCGATATCCAATGAAGATGATGAAACCTGAAATTTTGCAAAAAAAATAAGAATAAGAAAACTGTGTACATAATATTTATGTGTGTCAAGAAAAGAAGGCAAAAATGGTACTTACACTTTGGCTAAAAGATGGGGTAGTGTAGCTGTTGTTGTATGAACCAATGTTGGATCTCGTGAAATCGACTTCGAGTCGATCTTCTGATGAATGATCAGTCAATTTTGTTGGGATTGGAGATTTCATGGTCTGTACAGGAACAATACTGTCAGGTTGATGCGATGAAATTGGATAATCCAAGTCTAAGAATTGATCTTCGGAAAACAAGAAATCCATAGATTTCATGTCCATTGGATCAGTAACAATTTTCCAAGTATCAGTTACAAAGCTGTCCTGTGTGCTAAATTTTATGTCATGTTGAACATTTGAGGTTGCGTACAAGATGTTACTAGTCGAGTCAGGCACCAACAGAGCTGCGGCAGTGGACTTAACCAAGGACTCGGAATTGTCGTAAAAAGGTATGACTGGGACCCGCTCGTGGCGGCTGGCAAGGTGGTTTGCCGAATGGATGTCACGATCACAGGTGATGCATAGGGCTGCGGCGTCCGCCTTGCACGTGACACTAGCCGGCGCTAGCTCGCACACCTCGCACATCCACACACGTTCGTGCTTCGATGTGGAAGATAATAAAGTCAAAGATTTGCTATTCGCATCATGGACCTTGGAATCACATGACATGCACATAAAAGCAGAGTCCGTCCTACAAAATAGCAGCGCCACCGCAGATTTGCAGTGGTCACACGGCCTCGCCGCCACATTCCACCCTGTAGGAAAAGACTTGGCCTTGGCTGCTCCGCCACCATCTTGTCCTAGTCCCATTTTGATATCTCAAAAATATTTTGCTCTCTCCCTCTCTCTCTCTCTAATAAGGATGACTAGGCTTGTAACTAGTGGTGTGTGCTTGCCAATAACAATTTGTGTATATCTATCGAGTCAGGAGAGAGAGTAAGGGGGAGGAAATCTGGTTGCTGATAAATGTGGGAGTGACACGTGGATGGGGTTTTAGCCAAGCAAAAGGTTTGATGGCACATTGTGTTAAGTAATTGTCGTGTGTCTGTGCCGCCATAGGGCCCAAAATGTACAAGTTGTAAAGCCAGAAGTATACTGGTTGCGTCACGGGGAATGGAACTTCTCTTCACTTTTTTTTTAATAAATGTTGTTAAAAATTGATTAATCGTGCGATTAAAAAACTGTAAATTCCATAAAATATGTGATTAATATGAATAATTGTATGTTGTTATGATTTTGGTATTTTGACTTGCATTTTTATATCACCCTAATAGTAAAAATTTATTACAGTTCAGACACGTGCTTGTTAGAATTCCATAAAAAGAAAAAAAAAAAAAATACTCATCCACGATTCACTTTTCCTTCTTCGTTATATATAAATATGTGGCACTTAAATAAAATATTCATGATTTTTTTCATTTATTTATTTACCGTAAAAGATTCATATTGTTGTAGTGTTAGCTTTAGTAAGATTTAAAATCTCGATTTCGCCCTCGAGACATAATTCAGTAGTGCAAAGGATAGAAGTGGAGTAACCTCAACTTTGTTGACAATCGTAATGTGAGAGTTCGATTCCTAAAATATAGAATTGGATTCTTTGTGGACACCAGTGTATGGGCAAGCTCTTGTTCTCTGACCTGATGGGACACATCCCGCGATTTATCTCTCCCGCGATGCTCTAAGGGCGGGCATTGGGGGCCCTCAATGTTGATGTTCAACTTTTTTTTTTTTAAATCTCGATTTCAATATAAGTTAAAGTCAACAATTAATTTTAACCTATGTTTGACTCTCTTTAAATTAAAACTCTTTATTCTTATATTTATTTTCAACAATATATTATACAATAAAATATTCTGTATATAAATTCGAAATTTTTCCCAACTTTTAAACCGTGTATTATCCAAAAAAATCATAATGACTATCCAATAAGGACTTAATTTCATATTTCATGAAATCAAAAAAATTTCAAATACACATTTCATTAACTTTTATAAGTATTTAGTGAAAATTTGATTTTAATCTTCACCAAACATGGAGTAAATATAAGAAGTGAACAGTCTGTAAATTGAGACATTTCATGAATTTTAGCCGGTATGAAAATTAGATCATTGGCTAAATTGCATAAGAGCTTATTTGGTAGGGCTTAAAAGTCAATTAAAATCAATTTTTTTTACAGTTATTTCACTATTTCAATCATCATTTTTAATTTTTTCTCTCATAGGTAAAACCCACTTTCTCTGTAATGGTCAAAAAATTAATTATCAAAATTCCTACCAAACAAGCACTAATTGAAATATCCTTGAATTAAATATTTGAACCATGTGTTTAATAATAAGCTAGGATTTCGGCCTATCTATTGACACTGAAGTACTGAAGACACCACTATTGATAGGGATCAAGTCACGATCTGACTAAAAAAATCATTTTACGCTTGATTAATTAATTAAAAAAAAAAAACCACATAAATTTTTATTTTACCATTTAAAAAAAATTGCAATTAAAAATAAAATTTTCAGCCAGGCCCTAGGATGCCTTTGACGATCGATCGATCGATCATTGACAACAAATTTACTATTACATTTTTTAACTCCCTTTTCACGTTTTTTTTTTTTTTTTTTTTTTTTTTCAAAGTGTTCAATCATATTTTGACATGTGCTCACCCTAATTTTTACCCTATGTTTAAGTATGTCTCTATAGCATTATTGATAAAATGTTGAGAAGTTCATCTTCAAAGATTCTTTTGTTGGACCAGGCCCTAACTTCGGTCTGACGAGTGACAATTGGTCGATTATTGGCAATAAATTTACTGTTACAATTTTATTTTTTTAATCAAAACCTTTTTTTTTTTTTTAAATACATTCCTTGTTTGAGCCCAATTTTGGAAGAAAAAATAAATTTTTTAATAGTGTATTGAAGAAAAATGTATGGTTAAAATATAAGGAAAAGTTTTGAATTTATATGTAATATCATTTTATTGAAAAATGTGTAATTGAAATGATGTCAAAATACTGTAGAAGAATGCACTTTTTCTAAATAACAGGACTCAAACAAGCTAACAATGTTGTTAATTTTTTGTGCTATTAATATGTATTGTGAAAATAAAATTTAATTATTAATACATAATTTATAAATTTCGCCAAGCAAAGGCTAATTGATCTATTCATATGCAGGTTAGAGGGTTCGATTCTCTTGAAGTCGATACACGATCATCTCCAATTTTACTATGAACAATAATGACTTACAAAATCCTATTTTTGTCAAAGTGGTAATCTTGAAAGCTAATTAGCACAAAAAGTCTTCAGCAAATCGTCCTTGTCCTTTCAAACTCGACAATTGCACCCCTATGACCACATTTTCTTATTGAGTTGATCATGTTTATCTCATTCATTCAATTCCTTCCATCAAATATGAGTAATTGGTGCAAAACATCCTATCGTTTGTCTTCATTGCATAAATCACACATGTTTTAATTTTAGCATTTAGACCTTCAATTCAACTTTTTTTTTTTTAATAAAAAATCCTAACTGTCTGTTTTATCCACTAAAGCATGGTAAAATTCTAATTTGCCCTCCTATTTAAATAATTAATTAGAAAAAAAAATATATAAAAAATACTAATTGTAGCTGGAGTTCCAGTTCTTTGCAATTCTTAAACTCTAAATTCAGCATCAAACTTGGTTATCATTGGTGGCTCATTCCATTTTACCATTTAAGCTTCTTACTAAAATTTGTAGAATTTAAAGGTGCTTCATTGGTGTCTTTATAGATCGTGTTTAGATAAAGAAACCTGTTCTGTTGAACTTATCTGTTTCACATATGAACTCAACACCTGGAACCTCTTATTCAGTTTATCACAATCTCAATTAGATTTAAGTAGCATTTATAACAAATCTTAAATCTTCAAAAGTCAATAAAGTAATTATATGTATGTGCATATAGTTCCAATTGCAAAAAAAAATCCTAACTAATGATGACAATTGTCTTTTGTTTTAACTTAAGAAACAGAGAATCCAATTTGTCCACATTTTTTGAATTAATTTTTCCTTTTTTTGTGATTCTAAAATTTTTGAATTCTTTAATTTCAAGTGCAAAAATTTATTGGGATTCATACATGTCACAAGTGAGAGTACAAAATTATTATTTTTATATTTTACAAAAAATAAATAAATTCCCAGGAAAATAATTTTTAGACAATTCAATTCCCTAGAATTCATTTTCAATTCAATTCAATTCCATCTTTGTAATCAAACAGACCCTAAGATATTTGTAGTTGTGTTCTTATTGTTATTTTTCATAATTAAATAACAATACAAGTGTTAGTTTACTAGAACTTTTATCTGATTTTGTATTTTTATCAGATGTATACTTTCAAGTGAAGAATGATGAAAATGTGTTGTGAGCTCCAACTTTCAAGGAAACCATTGTGGTAAAAGCTAATAAGAGCTAAAAAAAATACATAAGAGAATTGATTCGTGTGTAGTTTTACTGGAAACATTAGCAACGCAAACTTGAAAATATTGTTTATGGTTTAAATGCAATATATTTTCTTCTTTTAATTGCCTAGCAATCTCTTAGTCTGGTTTATGTTTTCTTATATATGTAAGTATATGGTAAAGTTTCCTTTCTAAGTGGTGGTAAGAAGGTAAATGCTCATGGAATGTCATATTTGCTTCTTGAAATGTTCTTTCTCTAGATTTTGTCGACTATGTTTTTTTAGTATTTTATTAATTCATTGTTTTTTGTGCATGTTTTTCTTCTTTGATTCCAAAATCCACCACTAGACAACCCTATTGGTTTTCTTCTCGACTTCATAAATTTTTCTTCTTATTTTAGTTAAATGTTCCATAGTGTAATAATATGGAATTAAGACACAATTTATGGATTATTTTACATTTATTCCTATATATTTGTTAAAAGCAAAGAATTATATCACATAATAATTTGGGAACCATGGTTTTACTAGATATGAAAGCTCTCTTAGTCTACTGTAGTTTCACGTGAAGAAAATCATCCTGCAATTCACAAAATTTCCCGTTCATTAAATATGTTTTACGTTTTATATCTTGAAACAATATATCCATACCTGACCCACGATGATTGAAGGGGTTAGATTGTTTAAACATGCTTCTCTGGGAATATTGTTCGATCACTTAGGTAATAAGATTTCATCAATCATTCTGGTTATTTTATTTGCGCCATGGAAGAACCTTTGGTGCCTGTCCTTTTATGCATTTGCCAAAGTCCTTAACATGTCAAATGCTTATCTATTTATTTTGCTCAATATTCTTTCATTGATCATAGGTACCAAGGAACTGAACCCAATTGAGTATTAATTTGACTTGTGGATAAATGGATTCTTTGTTGTTCTCTTTACTACGTGCTTTTGATCTAGTGATCTTGAAGTTTTGCTTTGGTACCAGATGAACTTGAAGGGTCAAAAAAAGAAACCAATAATTCTTTCAATAGAAGAGGTGGATGAAAGATCAAAAAAGGTTTGCGTACTTATCTCCGATGCTACAGTTTATTGATTTTTCATCCCACCTATGTATGACATTTAGTTTCTTCATTTTGCTTTTCTATTTCGGGGGGAGAGATAGCTGCCTTCTATTATAATTTGGCTTTGTTGAGGTGTGTGAAAAGGTTTCAACTAATCTTTAATAATCAAAATATAGTTGAAAGCTGGGAAATGGAGATAATATATATGCTCGAAATGAGATGTAAATACAATATGTGTCCCTAGCTATTTGAGGACGAAGGTATTGGTGTTGTGCAAGGTACAAAGCATTGAACAACAAAGAAAAGAGATGACAATGATTTGGAGTTGGGATGTAGGTGGAATCGATGGGTTAAAGGTGGTGGAGCTTTTGATGATGTTAATTATTGTG